TAGTAAGTTTCCCCCGGCCCCGCTTGCAATGGGGCATCCTGATACTCTTTCAAACTTGTTTGCAACTGCGACACACCGGCACAAAACGAACGAACCATGCAGCCTGAGGTGTCAAGACCCTCGCCAAAGGAAATTCCGACCGCGTTCGACCAAGAGCACGTACACACAACTACACATACTCATTTTGCACCCGCGCTCAACTTGGATCCAGCGAAAGCGTCAGACGGTCAGACCTTGGACTTTCTGGTTTTCGTGTTTTGGGAATCTGAGATGTCGCGGCACAACTCGAAAATGTTCTGTCTCAGTGTGGGTCCTACGGGTCTCTGGTTCACAGTTTAGGGCTTTGGGCCGCCGGGTTCATGACTTTGTTTAAGATGCTTGGGTTTTGGATTTGAGGCCTGGGCTTAAGGTGTAGATCAGACTTTCGGGTATCGGCGCTTGGGGATTGAAGCTTTGGGGACCTGAACTCATAAGCTTTTTTTTTGAGATCAACATGAGTGACAGGAACGACTCTACGCTCACACCAAACCCCAAGCCCCACACCCCCGGCCTCAAACAAACAGCAAAATAGCCTTGAACCTGAAAAGCAAACCCTACGAGTAAACTCTGAACTCTGAAACTCCCCCCAGCGGCCCACTGATTCCATGACCTGAACTCCATGTGCGTCAGGAACCCGCAACCTGATGTGCACTTTGGGGCTCTCACTGATTGCCACGACAATCGGAAAGAGTAGACTCACGACCTGCGCTAGGTTTCAAGGCTTTGGTCAAGGTTCTTTTTCCCGCTTCTCTTGTGCAAGCACTGGGCTCTTTGGGAGTTGAGGGTCAACGCTGGGCCTGACGTTTATGAGATCAGGCTTGGGTTTTGCCTAAGCGGGGCTTCGTGAAGAAGAGACGGGATGCGGATTTAAGGCTTCGGTTTCAAGCACGAAGCGGAGCAAACAAGTAACACCAGTCGCAGCTANNATCTCTAGAGACTACCAAAGCGAAACAATGTCGTGAGAGAGTCACACACTCTGACAGAGCCAGCGGCATAAAACCCGTCGCCAAAGGCCCCAAAACCCTAAACTCGGCCGCCTCCACAACATTGGCGATTGAAGCCAGCACCTGGCAAAGAGGCAGGACCAGCACACATGAAAGGCACGAGACAAAAGCGCTCACAGCTCACAAGTGCCGGAGCGAAACTTGGGATTGTTTTCTACAGGCTGCAGCTGCTTAGGCACAACGCACGTGTGATCTTACAGGTCTTTGATGACGACCCTGCCGCAGCAGGCGACTGCTGCCTGAGCGACAGCCTACATGGATGCCCAACTGGCACAAACATCTCAATCATCTCACTCTGCCACTGCGAAAACTTCAAGGTTGGCAGCTAAACGACTAGAGTAGATAGCAAAAGCAGCGAGGCAGCGAGGCGGAGTGATATCATGAGGAACCCTGCGGATTCAAGCTTTCAGAATCCTTAGTTTGCAGTCAAAAAAGTCGCGTAAGCCTTCATGGCTTTCACCATATTGCTCGAGCTGTCGCTGTTTTCCTTCTGCTCAAGGATGTCCCGGAAGCTTCCGAGAGCGTCCTTGTGACCGGATGCCATCTTCAAACCGACAACCTCCTCCGTCGAGGAAACGTACTCTGCACAGATCCATCCCGGAGGCACATACAGAGTTGAGTTACTCTGATGAACGACAAAGTGCGGCTTGAGCCCCTTGTCCCGCATCTGCTGGACCTGGTCCTTGTCCATGTCAGCAAAGGCCTTCGCCACTTCACTGATGCCCTTGCCCTTCAAGCCAAGGGCGTCCACCAGCAGCGACATAGGAGCTAGAACCACATGCCGGACTCCGGAAAGCTGCAGCCTCACCTGCCCGGCCCACTTGTCTTCGCCCCCAACATACACCATGTTGTTGGTGAAGCCATAGATGTAGGGCTGCACGAAAGGAGTGAGGTCATGGCCCCCTGGGAGATTCTTTGGCCACGCAATGCATGCCGGGTCCAGGGTCGTCATAATTGCAAAGGTTTCATCAATCTGGTCTGCGGCTGTGATGGGCATCTGGGCTCGGCCGGTGGCTTTCACATGGCTGGTTGTGCTGAACTGCGACCGAAACATGGCAATCTGAGCCTTCACCCTGTTCATGTCGCGAAAGCCTTGCACAGCCTTGGCACAGTCCGTGATGAGCAGCGGCTCTTTGACGATCTCCTTCTTCTCGCCCGCATCGAGCTGCACGAAGTCAGCCTCCGTCAGGCTGCCAACCTTCTCCATGACGTCAGCCGGCACCTGCAAGATGTTCTTCTTGGGCACCTCTACCACAGGAGCCGCTTGTGCCTTTGGGCTGGCCAATCTCTTGGCACCAGCCTTCAGCTGCTCCTTCTGCTCCTTTCTCACCCGCTTCGCCTCCTCACGCTCCGCCTTCTTTTTCTCGGCGTCCGCGTCTCGCTGACGCTTCTTGTCCCGGGCTCGCTTGGCGGACTCCTGATCTGGGCCACACCAATCCGCAACCACGAAAACAAGACGAGGACTACTTTACGGGTTAAGGACAAGTGCTGGCGGTAAGGTTTTTTCTCTTGGCTTCGATGGCAAGGATTCAAAAAAGAAACATGTCAAAAGAGGTTACAAGAAGGCCAAGCAAGGCACAAGATCCTTCACACTCTGATCCATCAAGGTCGCAACCTGCCCCAGGCCGGACATCACATCCTCCCAAACAATCTTCCACTCGTCGATCTCCTCGTGAGTGTTCTTGGTGAGCAGAGAGAAAGCGATATGCAATGCCATGGGAACAGTTTTCAAGTTTGAGCCACCATCCGTGAGGTAGCTCTGCTTTGTCTTACTCAAGGACGAGATGTAACTATTCAAGGCATCCTGCGTGACTTTGGCCGCCTTCTCGACGTCTTCCCGGGTCTTGCTCTCATCACCCTGCCCCATGAAGTCAAGGAGCTCTGACCGAGCCCGAAGGATGCGCATGTACTCCTCGTACTCAGACTCCTCGGACTCAAACTTAGCGATGGTCTCCTTCATCTTCTCAGGCATCTTTTTCAAGGATTCCTGGCACTTGCGCACAGCCTGCAGTGCTCCATCATGCAAGCCAACACGACGAGACAAAGGCGTCTTTCGCTGCTCCTTTTGCTTGTTCTTGTTGTCTTTGCTTTCAGCACCAGCAGAGGCAGGCGACGTGCCAGGAGGCACTGCAGGATTGCCAGAAGGCACAGCGGGTGCCCCTGGAAGTTGGGGCCCACCGAAGTGTCTCACGGCATCGTCCATCTCGTCCACGTCCTCAGCTTTGAATTTCTTGGATGTGTGGCCGAGGTCGCGAGCCATCTCCTTGCCATCTTCAGTGAAGTCCAACTTGAAGGTCTCAACCTCTGTGCTCACTCGGAGTTCCTGGCCCCTGCGGCCTTTCTTGTCGGTCTCTGCTCCGTCAGCCTGGAGCTGCTGCCACTTCTCCAGGATTTCTGGGCCTATAGATGAAAATCAGGTTTAGGGCTTACTTTTTTACACTCAACAAATTCAGGGAAGCCTAGAAATTTCGTTTAAGGTTCAGGACATAGGGTTTGGGACCTTAGGATAAATGAGGGAACAACCTAGTGGCCACTGTATCCCTTCTTCTCGAAGTGCTGGGTGAACTCGCCCCAATCAAACATGACCTCTTTGATGCCACGCCGCACAGCTTTCTTTTTGTACACCGTTTCACGAAAGGACACATGATCGAACTTGTTTCGAGCGATGCCACGGCCTTTCGATCCGCAAGTCTTCTGGAACTTGAGAATCATTAAGACGAAAGTGTCATCAGCCTTGGCCTGCTCTTCGTACAAAGCAATCCACCCATTTTGCTCGGCATCCTTCTTACAGGCGGCAACATCACGAGCACACGGCAAGCAGAACCGCATCTTCTTGCCACGCCCCGCCGTTTTGCAAATCACACATGTAAGCTTCCCGTCATTTGACACTCCGAACCCTTCGGCCCGAAGTAATGCGAGTTGGGCCGGGCTGAGACCCGACGGAGACTCAGTGCTTTTATCGGAACTGCTCTGAGCCGGGGAAGGCGTACCCGTCGTAGAGCCGTCCTCTTGCTTCATCTTCTTCATAGGTGATCCTGCCGCTGCTAAACAATCCGCATCTTCTGAGAAGAAATTAAGTGGCTGTGGAGCTGGTGCATCTGCCATCTTCACCAATGGCGGAGGCAACGGAAAACAATCCTTCACTGTGTTTCACACAGCTTCAGAAGCTCAAGTCACTTAACCCAAGATGTTGCAGTAGCAGATTTGGCGACCACACAACACGCACGACTCGCAACAACAATACCAGGCTGGTTTCCCGACGGTCCCCACCTTGCGAGCCGCGAAGTTCGAGAAGACTGCCATCTGATGACCTGCGACAACACAGGAAGAGAGACACGGCTGGTTACATATAGTCAATGCGAAGCAATGCAGGTGAAGCCAACGGCCATTGCTGCCTTTTCTTGGGTTCTTCTGAGAAGAATCAAAATTGCTCAGCTACAATGCAGCATCAGCACGCTCAGAGTTTCAGAGGCAACAGAAACCAACCTCCACTGTGTTAAAACAGTTTCAGAAGCTCAAGCCATCACCACCATCGCCATCAGAGACGACGCTTCCGATCCTGCGAATGGCCACAGATGCAGCCGCAGCAGCATCGCCATCAGGGCCACCCGCTTCCTCAGCAGCATCCGGAACCAGCTGGTTGTGCAAACTTGACGACACCGTAGGCACACGGTGCAACGTCGCCAGCATGTACAGGATTATGCTGGCCACCGTCGGCTGGTGCATCCCGTTGCCGGCCAGTCTTTTCTGGTCGGCACGAGACAAGCTCTTCAGCACCGGAAAGATCAAGCTCTGCATGGAAGGATTGTCGTTCGAGTGCGGGTAGATCTGCACTCCTTGGGCTCCCAAGTG